TGCCAAACACAGTAACAAGAAGTCTCACAAAGGAGACGTTACTGGGCCCGCTGGAGCAAATCGATGAACAACGGGAGGACAGTGCTACAGTGCTATTACCACCTACCACATTTCAGACCTTCTCACTCTTATTGAAAATTAAAATATCTCATTTCATGGTTCCTGTGACATGGAACATCTAATTTTTTTTTTTTCTGTGAGAATTTTATTTAGTGTTGAGTTGGTGGGTTTTTGAGGTTGGAGGAGAGCCTGAATCCACTAGAATCTATTTAGTGCCATCTTGTGGCCTCTATAGGTTTTACAGGAAGGAATATTTTAGCGTTCTGGGGAAGCCTTTCTTTTTTGCAGGTATTAATGTATTTAAATGTATTTATTAGCTGAACTTTGCAGTAATTATTTTTTAGTGAGACACCATGAGGTACAGTTGTAGACTTACAAATTTTGTGCTTGGGTTTCAATTATACAATGATCAAATACCTATCCCTCCACCAGTGCCCATTTGGGGGAGGCCTTTTTATTTATTTATTTAAGAAAGTATTTTTTTAATTACTTAATCACTGTGAATTCTGGAGTTATTTATGGTTGGGTTTCAGGAATGCAATGTTTCAACAACAATCCCTTCACCATTGTCCATTTTCCTCCACAGTGGTCCCCTGTTCCAACCCCCATCCACCAACCTGCCTCTATGACAGGCCCCTTTTTTTTTTTCTTTTTATACATTTTTGGCATTGTGGTTTACAGTGCTGTTGATATAGGGCTTCATACAGAAAACTTCATACAATGTCAGCATCTTCTAGCACCTACGCCCTATCAGAGACAGAGAACTTCCCTCCACTATTATAATAGTGTCTCTTCCCTGCCCTATCCCCCAGCCCCCATCTCTTACCCTCTCACCCCTGCAAGCTTCCTACTGAAGACAAGTTCTTGGATTCTTCAATTCTATTGCCTTTGGATATTTGTTATTCACCTACTATGTTTCTTTATGTCCTTTATATGAGAGATACCATTCTGAAATGATCCCTCTGACTAATTTCACTTGGCATGATACTCTCCAGGTCCATCCACACAGCAGCAAATTGCTTGACTTCATCTTTTCTTGTGGCTGAATAGTATTCTATTATGTATATACATCATAGTTTCTTTTATCCACTCACCTGTTCTTGAACACTTGGGTTGTTTTCCGGATTTTGGCTATTGTGAATAGTGCTGCAATGAACATAAGGGTGCAAATGTCTATTCTGCATTTGTTTTTGAGTCCTTGGGTAATATTCCAAGAAGTGGAACTACTGGGTCAGATTTAAGCTCAATTTATAGGTATTTTTTGAATATTTATATTGTTTTCCAAAAAGGGTGGACCAGTCAACATTTCCAACAGCAGTGAGTGGAGGGTCCCCTTACCCCCACATCCATGCTAGCACTGGTTGTTTTTGTTCTTTTGGTTATCAAGACATGACGATAGCATGATCAGAAACTCTCAAGTTCTGTTAACAGGGTGATTTTGTTCCTTCACAGTTATCCACGAATAGATCCTGGAAAGAAATGGATGAGAGAGGGAAGGAGAGGGGGAGGGAAAGGGAGAGATGATAGAAATTCAAGTTGGCATGTTAGTGATATCTTATAGACGGTCTTAATGGCCCCTGCCAAAATAGAAAAATCTTCTCACTCTTTCCTCTATGGATACCTTTTTGTAGCATTTTCAACGGTTCTTCATAACAAACAATACAAAATATATTATTTCGTTTCTGCTTTGGGATCGGGATTGGGGCTTGGGGTGGAAATATCCCAAATGTGCAGGGAAGGTGTAATGGTGGTGGGATTGGTGTTTGAATATTATATGTCATCAAATATTGTGAACTACCTTATAAAATAAAACACTTTTAAAAAATAAAATGAGTTTAAGAAAAAAAAGAAATTCAAGTTGGCTTTTAAACCATTTCCTTCCTCTTTTCTAGCCATTCTTTCTGGGCTTCCATGCTCCCAGTGGCCCTGAGGAATTAGGCTGGTAACCTTCAACTTGGTCTTTCAGCGTTGGTGGGGAGAGGTTCTCACCAATGGCTGTGCTGCCCTAGTAGGCTGAACTGTGCAGATTCTCCAGAGCTCTGCCATGTGGTTGGACTGGTTTAAAGATGCTGAAGTCTGGAGTCTGATTTGCTGCTTTATCTGTGGAACTCAAAAACTCACGAGGGCAAAGGACAGAGACCAAGCTCACCTTTTCTAGAGTTTGACCAGCTTGTTGGGGAGAGGGGGAAGAGGAAAGAAAAGTGCACAGGGAACAGGAGGCATTGCATTTTGGAGTTCTCTGAAGTGAGGGTTCCATCTTTCTGGAAGAAGGGGATATATTGAGAGATGGATTAGTGAAAAACTTCCCATCCCCAAACCCAAGAAAACTATCTAATATGATGTCTTTACTTTGGTCCTTGCTATGGATTTGTTTACTAGGCTGTTATAATGTATAAAAATGGGTAATAGGAGTTCATAATGGAAAAGTTGGATCATAAAAAGAATACGAATACTCCAAACCACGCATCTTGTCATGATGCTTAGGATTGCATGGTTTTTTTCTTCTGTGTGGAAAGATTTGATTGTCTTTTTAAATTATGTGAGGCTATCAATTTCTAGTTTTTAGTGACTGTCAATAAATTTTGGCAGGTAAGGACTTAGGTTTTGCTAAATTACCAGGTATGTGGAATTCTAGATCTCAGGTGTTTAAGTTTTAGTGTTTGTGTTACAGGGGGCTCTTCAATGATTTCTGGTCCTGTTTCCCACCTTTAACTTTGGGTTATTTCCTTAGCATAGATTCCTCCCATCATGGGAAGGGGTGAGACGCTTAAAGAGGACTTTCTTGAGTACATGAAAGTCTTAGCACAGACCAGGGTAACCTTGCTTAACAGACTGGCTTTTAGGACACATTTGTTCCTTTCCTTTGTAAGGCCTGCATTTTATTCCCCTGTATGTCAAATGAGGGCTTGAATATCAACTGCCAGGTCTCTTGTATAATCTCATGTGTAATGTGTAGTATTTATATTTCATATTCTATTAATTTTCATATTACAGGGGGTTTTGCCACTAGTAATATCTGAAGTCAGTTATTTTTCTAGCATGTAATAGCTAATCTTGCTGTTGTTGTTAAATGCCTTTATGAATTTAAATAAAAATGCTGCCCCCTAATTATACTGAGAATGAACAACTTCAATAAGCTTGTCATATTCTCCTGTGAAATGCATTTGACTTTTTATCTACTGGCATTTGACATTTTCTTATCAACTCATATGAGCAATTTATACAATTTGCTGCCATATGTCTGTTTATCTGGTATTATATTTAAATGTCAAGTTCTGTCTTGCATTTTTGTGAATATAAAATAATGGTTATAATTAAAATCTCATTATGCAATCAACAGAGAAAATTTTATTGGGTCCCAATATTACTTGCAAATAATGACACATTATGCATTTATTTTCAACTATCCTACCTCAATATTTTAAATTTTTCATTAAAATCCCAGAGCACTGATAAATAATCATGGGTCTCTGGTATAATTTGAAACTTATTCCTGATTTTCATAGGAATATCTCCAGTGTTTTGCCATTAAATAGACTCTTAATCTGTCATCTCCAAAATTAAATTGTTTATTATGTCAAGAAAACAAACTTTTCAAGCTTTGAATCTTTACATGTTTAGGAGCATAATTTTTCACAGAAAGGTTATGTGGTTTTGTTATGTGATCTTTTGTTGGTGTGGGTAATAAAGGCTTTCTAACATCACACACTTATTTTTATGCTTTGAACTAGCTATGACCACTGTTTTGTTTTGGCTCCTTTCTATCAATAGCATTTTATACAGACTTTTTAGCACTGTACATATAAATCTTGTGTGTGAATAATGCATAAAGAAAGGATATGAGAAAATATATCAACATAGTAAAAATAATTAATATAAATCATGGCATTAATATTATTTTTACTTCTGTATTTTCTAAAAAATGGTCATGGTCATGGTCCTCCCGTTGTTCATTGATTTGCTCGAGCAGGACCAGTAACATCTCCATCATGAGACTTGTTGTTACTGTGTTTGGCATATCGAGTACATCAGGGGTAGCTTACCAGGCTTTGCCGTGCTGGCGAGATACTCTCGGTAGCTCTCCGAGGGGGGGCAGAGGAATCAAACTCGAGTCAGCCATGTTGGCTGCGTGCAAGGCAAACGCCCTACCCGCTGTGCTATACAAAGTACCCTATTTTTACGAGGTAAATTATAAAGGTCAATGTCTTATCAATAGGTTATGGGTGAAATGAGACAAGTTGGGGTGAGATTTAGGAAGCCGACTTGTTAGAGTATGTAACTTTTGCTGGTTCATTATCTGATATGAAAATTATTTTGATACTCAGGAAGCCAAAACCTGAGTTTCTTCTCTGTTTGATGCATAATGGCACTGTGTGGAAACTTGACTAGCCCCAATGTGTGGATTTTTTCTTAACCAAGAATATAGGATTTGATGATTTTCAACATTTTTTTAACCTGAAAGAAGTTTAAAAGGAATTCCAGAGATTAAAAGTTGTATTTATTTTCTGCTGAAGGGAGTCAGTGATGCCCTCCCAGGGGGCTTCCCGGGCACCTGGGGCCTGTCTGACCACAGGTTGCTTTTGGAAAGTTCTGAGACACTGTCTCGGGGAAACCTTTGCCATGTCTTGGGCGATGCACAGATATAGCAACATAAAAACATGCACTTATACATCAAGGCACACAAACAGCAATCACTAGAGTTGGTGCCTTGATTGCATTTTCCCCAAACCAGGAATAGCTCTGCTCTCCTCTGCAGTATGAAACACTTTCTCTCCAAAGGGAGGTTGTGCAAATTGCAGAGCTCAGGATTTTCCTTCTGGACTTGTTTCTTAACATATCCTGTGCTTAAGTTATAGAAATCTCAGCTGAGGTATGATCGCAAAGTTTATATTTACATGTATTAGACCATAATATCTCCTTGCTTCTTTTGTTCTGTGTAGCTTTGGGCCAGATCATGTTGTACGTGGATGGGATGAATGGAGTAATAAACCATAATGAAACCATTCAGTGGCTGTACACTCTCATTGGGTCCAAGGTAAGAAAAAGTTAATGATGGAACAGTTAATTCATCTGCAAATCACAGACGCTTCATTTTGTTACTCTTTCTGATGTAACCTTGCAGAAAGTAGCCATATTCAGGTTTGCTTCCACTCTAGCATACTACAAAGGAGAACCTCAATTTTATCGATTTTAACATAGACTCAGATCACAAATAGTTTATAAATTTCCAGTGCATTTGTTTATTTTTTTTAGGTGGGAATAGGGGTCACACCCTGTAAGCTCAGGGCTTACTCCCAGTTCTGTGCTCAGGGATCATTCCTGGAGGTGTTTGGGAGACCATAAGCTATGCTGGGAATTGAGTTAGGGTTGGCTGCATGCAAGTCAAATGTCTTACCCCTGTGCTGTCTCTCCATTTCTATTTTATCCTTTAAGCTATAAGCAGTCTCTTCTCTCCCCTCCCGTCTTCTCCCCTTCCCCCTACCTTCCCTCCCTTTTCCTCCCCACTTCTCCCCTTTCCTTCCTTCCCCCTCTTTTCTTGTGCTGTAGGATCTCCTGCATACAGGGCATGCCCCTTGCCACTGAGCCACACCCCCTGCCCAAGAAAATGCCCTTTTGTACCTACCTCTGGTTATACAGTTTTAAATAGTTGCCATATATGCAGTAGCAATGTGCCTGCTGTTTCATGCTCCTACTTCATGTTCTGTGATAGTGTATATGCATATTCCTATATAGAGGTGAAGAATGTGAGCCAGCCCTTCAGCTCTACTGTCAGGGTCCTGACCAGTTGACCCTGACACACTGGAGTATGATCTCCCTAGTCGCCAGACTTACTCCCTATAGGAGAGGAAGAGGTAAGGGGAGAAGCCTCTGCCCTGACCCTCCACGCACTGCGGACTCCCGCCACCACTGAGAAAGAACCACGGCAGAGGGGGGAAAGCTGGTGGTCAAGCAGCAATCCGTTTATGAGCTCTCACACAGGGGTTTTTATACATCCATTTCAGGGGGCAATCCACATGTATCACGTTTACCTTATTCGGCTCAATATAGATGATGACTTACATCGCCTTCTGTCAGGGCCAGGTGTATTAGCTCAGGCAGATGGTAACTGTTACATCCCTCATCCTCAATCAGAGTGCCTACATGTTTGGAGTGCTGAAGCAAGCCCCTGGGCCCCTGTAAACAGGGCCAGCTCTTTATTTCAGGGACAGGGAATTTAGTCAAAGTCTCAAGCTGGCTACTGAGACCCCAACACTTTACCATCAGTGACAAAATAATCATTTATTTAAGATTTGCTGGGCACCATAGCAGGTGGTCCAAAAGGGACCACTGTATGACCATGCTTGGGGGAGGCCGCAGTGCTGTGTTGTGAGAAGCTAATTGCCCGCTGCCCATGGTGCAGCTGTCCCAGCATGCTCTGTTTGTGTGCTATGAGGCTGTAGACGCTCCTCACTGTCAGTTCAGGGCCCTGCAAAGTCTCTGGATTCTCTGACGGAGGCACTGGTGGAGGCCATCTTTGGAAGGAAGAATTAGGAGAAATCCTGTCGTGAGCAGGTGCAAAGGAGCCGAGGCTGGCCGAAGTGGGTAGGCTCTCTGCACAACCCACAGACTCCCAAAGGGGTAATAGGATGAGACGATATTTTGCAATTGAACCGAATTTTGCACAGAAATGCTTCATTGTGGTCAGGATAAACCACCAACAGCCAGCGGCTGGAGTGATAGCACAGCAGGTAGGGCGTTTGTCTTGCATGCAGCTGACCTGGGTTCAATTCCCAGCATCCCATATGGTCCCCTAAGCACCGTCAGAAATAATTCCTGAGTCCAGAGCCAGAAGCAACCCCTGTGCATCGCCAGGTATGACCCAAAAAGAAAAAAAAATCAACAGCCAGCCCTCTTCTTATTTTATTCTATTGAGGTAGAGGGTTGGTTCAGACCCAGGGGTGCTCACAGGACCATACGGGGTGCAAGGAATTAAACCTGGGTTAGCTTCAGTCAAGGCAAGCTCCCCAATTGCTGTACTATCCCTCCAAACCCTATTTATTTTACAAAATATTTGGGGGGGACTTTTTAAGCTGTGCTCAGTTTACCTCCTATGATACTTGATCAGTCAGGCTGGGTGTGGCTCAAAGTTTTGGTCTAGCAGCTATTGGGGGTCACCAGGGCTACACCCAGTGGTACTGGGGGATATGGGGTGCCAGGGAGCCAACTTGCATCCTTCCACATGCAAGACAGCCCCGCTGGGCTGAAGCAATAGCACAGCAGGTAGGGCCTTTGCCTTGCATGCGTCCAACCTGGGTTCTATCCCCAGCATACCATATGGTCCCCTGTGCACCGCCAGGAATGAATCTTGAGTGCAGAGCAGGAGTAACCCTTGTGCATCGCCGGGTGTGACCCAAAAAGAAAAAAATTTAAAAAAAAAAGACTTACCCCTGCCCCTTATGATGACGATGTATTTATGATGGGAAAATGAGATCAATTAGCTCTTGACAAGGAAGGTGATGAGTGGATGAGACAGGAGAGGCACAGAGCAAGAGAGAGGAAAGGAAGAGAGACCAGGGGAGGAAGAGCCAAGGAGAAGAGGGGGAACAGGAGCAGCCTCAGAAGCATTAACCCTGCTCAGCAGGTGAGCACAGTCTCCTGGGAGTCTTCACTGTTGTGACTGTATTTTGCTGATTTTTTTTCTCTCCTGAAAACAACCCCAAGGGAACCCCAGGGCCTCTGGGATGAGTCAGACAGTATAAAGGCCCTAACTTTAGTATGCTCCAGCCCTCCTTCTTGACTCCCCCAAGTTAAGGTAGGCGTCATCTCGCCATGCTTTAGGGTCAGGGATGCTGGTAGGATCTTTCAATGGATTCCTTTTTGTCTAAGGAATGAAGAAAATAATCTCCACAAACGAGGGCAGGAAGAGTGAAGAATGTGTCGCCTGCATGCAAGTGCCGGGTATTGTAGCATAGAGCTCTTTTCTTCAAGTTTTGGCACCTTCCTATCTGGGCCAAAAGAGAGACATGCCAGGCTGGGGAAGTGGCTTATGGTAGAACACATGTCCCGGTGCCCTTCTTGCCACTACATGCACTCAGGTTCCACATTGTTGACTCTAAGCATTGCCATCTTTGGGCACTACACCACTACCTAGTGTGGCTGGGAGTAACCTGGGCCCTTCTACACATTGAGAGGATGGGAACAAAATACTCAGCACTCAGTTTGCCAGCATCTGCTCACCTGAAAACTGCTCAGCTATCCTGAGTGTTTCTTCTCTTTTCTAAGTGCTCTTGAGAAACTCACTCCCAAGTCCTGGGGCAAATTGCTAGGAATCACTGTCACTGTCCTCCCGTTGTTCATCGATTTGCTCAAGTGGGCCCAGTAACATTGTGAGACTTATTATTGTGTTTGGCGTATCAAATACGTTGTGGGGAGTTTGCCAGGCTTTGCCGTGCGGGCGAGATACTCTCGGTAGCTTGCCAGGCTCTTAGAGAGAGGCATAGGAATCAAATGTGGCTTGACCAGGCTGGCTGCGTGCAAGGCAAACACTGTGCTATGGGTTTAGCAAAATGTAAAAAGAAAAGTTTGAATTTCAGGGTCCAGAGCAGTAGCACAGCGAGTAAGGTGCTTGCCTTGTATGTGGCCCATCCAGTTTGCTGCCAGCAACCCATATTGTTCCCTAGGCCCCGCTAGGAGTGATCCTTGATCCCAGAGCCATGAGTAAACCCTGAGCACAGCAGAGAGTGGCCCCCAGCCACCCCCCCCAATAATTTAATTTTGCAATCCTTTTCTGAAACTTGGGGCAGTTCACTATAGACTTTTCATATTTCTTCTGTTTTCTTCATGTATCATAGAGATTGTTCACTTTTATTTTGCATTGTTTGAGGTACCTGCTGTTGTAATTCTCAGAACATCAAATATTGTGCATAATTCTTTATAGAATTATTAAGGATTGTTTTAATTAGGATGTTCAAATGTAAAAGCTGGGTTTTTGTTTTGGTGAATGTGATTATCTCAATTTGTTATCTAAGAGAGCATCAGATTTCTATTATGAGAGATACATAATATATCAAAATTTTAGCCTATGCCTCTCTTCATTAGAGTGATTTTACCTCCAATGGGATCTTTGTTGAGATCTTCTTGCATCTTATTTATGCCCTGGAAAGGAAAGATTTACGATTGTCTTTACTCTCTTTTTCTCTTTTTAGTCTTTGTATTTCATTCTGGACAACTCATCTTGACTTAGCAGTTAACTGGTTCTTTGCTCAATTACACTGAATCTTTCTGATAAAAAGAAATCTCTGACTATTTCTTTTCCTTCTAGCATTTCCATTTCACTCTTTTTTTTCGCTCTTTTCTTATAGGTCTCTTCTGCTAGATTGTCTTGTCTGTTCATGCTAGGTTTTCACTTTGTCTGCTAGAGTCTTCAATGTATAAATCAGAGTGAATTATATAGTTCCAACATTGACTCAAATCTGAGTCTGGTTCTGTTGCTTAGTTTGTTTCTAGAGATGGGGCCTCGGTACTTTCTTGCTTTTTTTGGGGACATCTTGTAATTTTTGGTTGAGAGTTTGACATCATGTATAGGCCATACAGACTGAGGTAAGTAGCAGTTATGCCTATAAATGGGCAAGCCTGCAGTGCCAGGTGGTCAGCGGGGTGTGCTGGCCTCTGCTCGTCCCTGGAGCTGGTTTGGATTTGGTTGCTGCTGTGGTTTCCCTAAGTGCACCACCACTTTCCAAGGTCCTTACAGCACTATCTAGTAGCAAGAGGGAGGGCTGACTTGCTAGAGGTTCTTGTTTCTACATTTATTCTCTACTTCGCTCTTGGGTTCTTATGTGAATTTTAGAGTCTCTCTCTTTTCTTCTGCTCCTGCTTGGTGCTTTCTAGATCAGAAAATAATGGACTGGGCTATCAGTCATCTCTGACTTGCATTGATCTTAGTGGGTTTTCCATCCCAGGCTTGGGTTCAAGCTGTCTCAGTGATCCTGTGCCTCCCTCAGGAGTAGGAAGCCTCTACATTTGTGTTTAGAACAGTCTCCCATCGTTGCTTCCCCA